CAATAACTCCCATTTGGTGGCAATTTTAGAACTTTGTCTTGTATTAATGAATATTTACCTGACACAAAATCAAAAACATATGGATGAACTTCTTCTCCTCGGAAGAGTCGTGTAAGTGTATCATTCAAATCATCAAGTCTCAATGCTTCTAAACACTCGAAATCATAATTTCCATACTCATCCTTAGGAGAATCTACACGGTGCTTATAATAATCATCAGTGCTTAATACAACTGGTGTAATTCCTCTAAGTTTTAATTGTACTCCAAGTTTTTTACTAAATGTAGTCTTACCTGATGCACTTGGCCCTGCAATAGAAATAAGTTTAACTCCTCTTGTTTTAATCTTTTCAATAGCGTCTTCTGCTATTTGTGCTATTTCCATATCTTGTCTATTTTCCATCATCATTACAGTTGTTTTATCTCCTTTTATAATCTTCTTGTTGAGATCACCAATACATTCAATTCCAACTGCTCGTGCTACTTTATTTGTTGCTTTGTAATTTTCTATGATCTTTTTTGTTTCAATTTCTTTTATTGTTTTTGGAATTGGTTTGTTTTCTTGAGGGAATAATAACATCATTCCTGTTTTATCAGTTCCTAGTATTAAATTAAAATCTTTTAATATTCCTGTTCTTCCTAAAAGTGGTCTGATAAATAATGTCATAAATCCTTCTAAATAACTACATTTAACTTCTTCATTATTTGTACTTTTTAAAAGTGAAAGTGTCATTCCTCTATTAGTTTCTGTGAAATAATTGATTGCTTCTGCATGTGATAGAACTACTTCTTTTATCTCTTTATTCTCATTGATTAATTCTTTCATTTTGTTTTTAATAGTATTACACTCTTCTTCTGTAAACTCTTTTCCATTAGATTTATTAATACAATATCCATTATTGACATGATGTTCAACAGTAACTCCAAACTTTGTTCCATATGTCATAAAAGCAGCAGTAGCAAATACCATAACCAATGACCTTCTATAAATTGAAAATCCCTCATAAGAATTTAAAAATACAGGAGTAATATTAGCAATACCAATATTAATGATAGCATTTGTTGAATACACTCTTCCATTGACCATAATACCAACTAAATCACTATTATTTAGTGAGGGATGTGTAAGTAAATTGGTTAAGTGCAATGGTCTAGTATGAATTTCTTGTGTTCCATCAGTAAATGTAACGACTGTTTTTGAAATATCTATTGGGTTGGCAATAGTACTAGGAGTAGATGGGTTGACTGTTGGTGAGGATAAACTTGACATAGTGTTTTTATGTTAATAAAGATACTAGTTTCTAGATCTTTTAGTAGTAAAAGATTATATTTCTAGGGTGAATAAAATGGAATTTTTTGGTTTGGTTTTTTTTTATTTTCTATGAGAACCTTAAATAACACTTATGAAAAATGATAAACAAAATTCTTGTTAAAAAATATTTTAGGAGATTACAAAAACGAGAATAAAGAAATCTTTAACTTATTATTAAGTTATTAAACTATTTTGTATGGGCAACAGCATCACTAGTAAGTATGCTTTTCTTCCTCCTCAAAACAAATATCCTATTAATGCATTTGAAATTTGCCATATTAATAATAGACATGTTCCTTATTACATTATAAATTCAGAACCTCCAAGTAATAGGTATATTATATTTTCACATGGAAATGCTGAAGATATTTCTACTTCTATAGAATGTATGAGAAGATTTTCTAAAATTGTTCAATGCAATATCATTGGTTATGACTATACTGGTTATGGAAGTAATATTGGTGATCCTTCAGAAAATAATTGTAATCAAGACATTTTATCGATTTTTCTTATGGTTGTGAAAGATATGAATATACCACAAAAAAATATTGCTCTTATGGGTCATTCTATAGGATGTGGACCATCGTTATGGCTAGCAAATCAAATTCAATTGAATAAATTAAAAAAATATAATATTCAACCAGGTGTTCTTGGAAGTGTATTATCTATAAGTGGATTTACTTCTGCTTGTGCTGTTGTTGATCAAAGATTAACATATATTCCATTTACTGATATTTTCAATAATGAGAATACAATTAGAGAATTAAAAATGCCAGTATTTATTGCCCATGGTTTAAATGATACAATTATCCATGTCTCACATGCCACCCGGTTAAGTGAAGCAATTAAATGTAAAGATAATTTTGAATTATATTTAGTAGAAGATTGTGGGCATAATGACATATTTAGTAATATAGAATTTCAAACAGCAATAGTATCATTTATAGAAAGTTATTTTCAAAACCATCTTATTAATTAAATTCATTAGTAATAAAAGAAATAAATTAACAATTTAAATTTAGATATTACAACCTTGTTCATAAAGAAAAACATCAGTTAATAACCAATATTTTCTTATAGGTTTTGTCTTTAAAGAAGAAGGAATTGGGGCTGCATTTGTTTTTATTGATTCTTGAAAAGGTTCATTACTTAGTTTATTTTGTTTTTTCTTTAAAAAAGAACTTGGTTTTGGTGGACTTTTAATGAAGTTAAGGAGTTCTGATTTACGAAGTTCTCTTATTTCTCGTGTTTCATGAAAATAAGGAACACCAAAACTAGAAAAAATATCTTCTAGTAAAGGAAAATGTGGTTTTAGAACAACAACTTCTCTTGTATGTTCATCAATTATTCTTAATTCTCTATAATTATCAACAAAGTTACATAATGCTTTATGTAATGAACATGCTATATTATTAATTAATTCTTTGTTTAAAGTTTTTCCTGCTAATTTAACAGAATTAAATCCTAATTTTTTAATTGTTAATATTGTCCGTTTAGAATTTACTACTTCAAATGAAACTTCATCTTTTCCAACTTTTTCTGCTACTTTCATCATTGTATTAAACATAGCACATCGTGCACTTTTTGATTTATGACGAAAAGAAATTCGCGTAATATCTTTTGGTGATGGATCAGAAAGAACAGTCGAAGATAATGCTGGTTGATTTTTTTCAAATTCCTCAACTATCTTATCAATATCACTTGACGTCACTGTTGCTGGACCACGAATTTCTGCAACGTCAAAATATTGCATTGATTTAACTGCTGTCCTTTTTCTTTTGTGAATAACCAATGTACATCCAACCCAATTTAATACACCAATAACAAATGCTGTTAGTAATGCTGTCTTAGTATTTTCTTTTTGTTTTAATAATTTGTTTTGTGCAGTGGGTGAAGGAAACTCTTTTAGTGAAGAAGAAGGGTATGAACAACTTGATGAAGTGTTTGACATCTTGAGTTTTATTTTTAAGTTCTTCTGAATAAACTTTAATAGCTTTTTAAGGTTTTTATGATTTTATAATATGTTAGTATTTGTCATTATAAAAAAACTATATTTATTTTCAAATAGCAAAACTCATGAGTTTTGTAAAATCTATAATAAATTTGTTTTATATAACATAAATTATTTAATAATAAAAAATGTCACAAAAAGAAAGAATTTTTCAGTGGTGAGGATTTTTATTAAAAAGTTTTTTTTAGAAGACTTGAAAATAAAGAGAACTTAAAAATATAAGATACAATGACAATTGCATTACAAGTAGGTCAGTTTGATATTAAAAACATAAAATATACCTTAACAAATAAAGTATATTTCAATACCAATGATTACAAATCATTTGAACAACCCGAATATGTTAAAATAGATAATTTTGTATATACTGCTACGAGTTTAGACATAGTTGAACAAGGAAAGTTATATCTTAGTAAAGTACAACGTACAGACTTGAATTTAGGATTAAATGAACAAGTAAAAATAACTAAATTTGAACCGAATCAAACTCAAAGATGTACTTCCTATTTAAGAATTGACATTGGGTTCTTTAATAGACCAACACAAATTGAAATTGATGCAGAAGATATTAGAAAATTAATTAAAAATGACTTTAATAAACAAATAATAACTCAAAATCAATCATTAATATTAACAGTTAAAGGAATTCCATTCTTATTAAAATTTGCTGAAATTCAATTAGTTGGAGCTAAAGGAGAAATTATTGAAAATGCAGACCGAGGACTTATTCATGAAAAGATAATGAATATTGATATTTCTAAACTTGGTAAAGATGGAGGATTACTTACTATCAATGGTGGAATGACTCAAGGTACTTTATTTACTAAAAATTTTAATCCAGAAGGAATGGGAGTTGGTGGACTTGATAAAGAATTTACAGATATTTTAAGAAGGGCGTTCATGTCTCGTATGTTTCCACCAGAAACTATTAAAAAATTAGGTATTAAACATGTCAAAGGAATTTTGTTATATGGACCACCAGGATGTGGAAAAACTTTAATGGCAAGACAAATAGGTAAAATGGTTTCTTCTGTTGAACCTAAATTAGTTGAAGGACCATCTATTCTTAATAAATATGTTGGAGAGTCAGAAGCTAATATCAGAAACTTATTTGCAGAAGCAGAAGCTGAACAAAGTCAAAGAGGAGATGACAGTCAGTTACACATTATTATTCTAGATGAATTAGATGCTATTTGTAAACAAAGAGGAAGTCGTAATGATTCTACTGGAGTATCTGATACTATCGTTAATCAATTGTTAAGTAAGATTGATGGAGTTAATGCATTAAATAATATTCTTGTTATTGGAATGACTAATAGAATTGATATGTTAGATGATGCTTTATTAAGACCAGGAAGACTTGAAGTTCAAATTGAAATTGGATTACCAGATGAACATGGTAGAGTTCAGATTTTAAATATTCATACAAAAAAAATGAGGGAAAATCATATGTTAGATTCTAGTGTTTCTATTGAAGAATTAGCTAAACAAACAAAGAACTTTTCTGGTGCTGAATTAGAAGGATTAGTTATTTCTGCTTCATCTTTTGCTATGAAAGAAAATTTTGATATGGAGAAATGTAAACCAAAGAATGATAAATTTGTTGTTAAAAGAGAGCACTTTGATATGGCATTAGGAGAAATGAAACCTGCTTTTGGTGTTGATAGTGATGACCAAATTCCAACTCTTCCTAATCCAATGTTAGTGTATTCATCTGCACAAATGCATGTTAGAGAAATGTTAAAAGATTCTGTTCAACAATTAAGTACCTCTACAGTTACTAATAAAATTGCTGTTATGATTGGTGGTAAACATGGTAGTGGTAAAACTGCTCTTGCAGTAGAAGCAGCTAAACAAAGTGGATTTCCATTTATTAAAGTATTATCTGCAGAGCAATTGGTTGGATATTCTGATGCTATAAAATGTTCTAAAATTGCTAAAGTATTTACTGATGCACATAGATCAACTCAAAGTGTTATTATTATTGATGACTTAGAAAGAATATTAGAATATACTCCATTTGGACCACGTTTTGATAACACTGTTTTACATTTACTATTGGCTTATATTCGTAAACCAGTTCCTACTGGAAAGAAGTTATACATATTAGCTACTACCTGTCTTGCACCTGATGTATTAAGAAATTTAGATGTTTGGGAAGCTTTTACTCAACATATGCACCTTCCAATTGTTACAGGATGTGAACAATTAAAAACCATTGCACACGCAAGTGGAATGGATACTACTATTGATGAATTAGGATGGGTTGATGTAATGAATCAATTCAAAGATAAAGAAATTGCAATTCAAAATGCCTTATTATTATTAGAAAGTTTCAAAGGAAAATCGTATGATTCTAAAGAGTTTACTATGTTAATGAATGCTTATTGTTCAGAAGAAATAGATCCATGGGATTCAATTGCTTATATGCAAGCTTAAAAACAACTAAAGCTTTTTTGAATTATTATTATTATATTTTAACTATATTTTTATAGTTTTAAAGCCCTTTTCAAATAAAAAAAAAAATAAAAGAAAAAAAATTATTTTTCTTTTATTTTCAATAAAAAGGAAAAAAAGTAAGAATAGTAAAATATAATAAAAAAATTAAAAGAATAGAAAAGAAAAAAATAAAAAAAAATTGTTATTTTATAGTGTATTTTATATGAAAGAAATTCACTCAAGCCATTTGCTCCAATCTATCACAAGTAAATTATTTATAAGTACAAATCGAAATAATAGTAATCCATCGAAAAATAATGAAAATGGAATATTGTTTAAGTTTTTAAAAAATGGGAAAAGTTTTCTTACATCTCAACGAATTCAAACTGAGATTAGTCGAACACTTGAAATAAGTCGAAACCATCAATGCCCTACGTTTATTCTTCAGCCTGAAGAAAATGGAAGTTCTACATTAATTAGTATTGATAAAAGTAATGAAGTTCAAAGCCAAATGATTAAAGTAAAAAAAAATGAAAACAAATTAATTTATTTTCCTGGTGAATACGAAGATACACTTTTTATGAAATATTTCCAAGAAAATGTTATTAGAGAAAATAATGCTGTAATGAGTGGATGCATTGACTCTCTTATTAATTGTGTTTGTACAGAAGATAGTGATATTATGAGAGCTTTTATTTGGACACATTCTTCTTTTACAACAACTAACATAATGCTTTCAATGCTTCAAGACAGATTTGAGAAATGTTGTTGTAATGATGGAATATTATCACAAAAAATTAAAGCAAGAATTATTAATGCAATTAAGTATTGGATTGAAAATACTTGGCAAATAACTATTGATAAATCAATGCCAATTGTAGAACAAACAAATCAGTTTTTAGATTTAATGAAAAGATATGGTATGAAAAAACAAGTTCTTCTTATTACTGATGTTATGGAAAGGATATTAACTGGAAATGGTCTTGTGTTAATTCAAAGTGTTAGTGATACAGTACAACCAATTATACCTTCATTACATAACGTTTTTAAGTTAAAAAGAGAACCAAAACTAATGGATTTTCCACCATTAGAATTTGCTAAACAAATTACTTTGTTTACATCTGAACTTTTTAGAAAAATTAAACTTGTAGAATTCTTTAAATCAACTTCAAACGCTACAAAGAATGAATGTTTTAATATTATAGAAATGACTAATTTTTATAATGCTTTTCAAAATTGTTTAACTGAATTAATATTAGGACAAAACGATCTTCAAAAACGTGCATTAATTGTAGAACGATTAGATCTTATTGCATATTATTGTCTTCAACTTAATAATTTCTTTATTGTTGTTTGTATTGTAACTTTATTTGAAACATCAGCTCTTCATCGATTAAAACGAACATTTAAAGCAGTAAGTCATGATGTTCAGGAGAAATTTGAAACAGTAAGAAAAGTAGCTAATATGGAAGGAAATTGGAAAAGTTTAAGAGTTGCAGAAGATAATTGTACAGCAGCAATGGTACCATTTTTAGGATTAATATTGAGTGATTTATTATTTACTAATGATGGTAATAAAACAATTACATCTGATTCTACAATTAATTTTGCTAAATGTAGAAAACTTAGTGATATTGTTATTACAATTAATAGAATTCAACAACTTTCATATGGAAGTAAAATATTAAAATCTGAAGAATATCAAACATATATTATTGATAAAATTCAACATGGAGAGTTTGTTGAAAAAAAACCTGGTAGTGATTCTTTTCAATATAATATTTCTAAACAACTTGAAGTATCTGATTGTGTTACACAAGAGGTATTTACACAAGAAGAAATACCAGACGGACACTTATCTATATCAGTAGTATTACCTAACCAAATTAAAATAAGAAGATTTTTACCATTAAAAGAACGTTTAACATTAGGAAGAGTTTTAAATGATATTAATGGTAAAGAGTTTAATTATCAAAATAAAAAAATATTTTTCTTCTTTTTTGAAAACCAACCTAATTATTGTTATCCTCCTAATAAAATTATTGATGAAGTATTCTTTGAACACACATTTAAAACAATTAGTTTTGCTACTGTATTAAGTGATGTAAAATATGTTAATTGTATTTTTGAATATAATGGGTCATTAGCTAATTGTCAAATACCAATAGATAATACTGTTCCTTTAATACAACAATATCCAATATTCCATACATATATTTTAAATTCATTTTCATTTATTCCTTTAAAAATTTCTCATGACTTTACGGTTGAAGGATTTTTATCTATTCAATATAGTCTTCAAGAATACAATTGGAAAAGAGATGATATGTTATATCTTATTAATATATCTTCACTTTCATTATATTTTAGTAACTTAGATATTGATGAAATTAGATTTAATTCTTTTTGGAATTATAAAAAATTTGAAATAAAAATGTGTGATGGAACTGGTCATACATTACCAGAACAATGTACTTTAATGGTTGTTGATCAATTTATCTTATTATATAAAGAAAAAGTGTTTCAATGTTGTTTCCCATTAGATTTTGTAAAAGTATTAATGTTTATACAACAACCAAGATTATTATTACGTATTAAATATGAGTATCCATTTGAAATGATAGAAAAAGGGATTTCTAATGAAGGAGCATCAATACCATCTACAAATAATGAACTTTTATTTGATGCAGATAAAGAAGTTATTCAACAATTAATATTCCATCTTCATATCAACCATGTTAAATTTAATAAATATCAATTATTTGGAATTAGTCCTGAATTTGTAATTCAAAACTCAACATATCATTCACCAAAAATATTAATAGAAATTATAAAAGCAATGTATTTTAAAAGTGATTTTTTTGAAGACCATTTCTTTGAAAATATGTCATTGGAAGATGCAATGATTGAATCTGAAAAGATAGAAAGTGGAGTTCGTATTGGTTATGATGCTTTACCATCTCCTACATTAGTTGGTATTTTTTATATGTATTTTTATACTTTAAATATCCCATTATTACCTATTAATGATTTAGAGTCAATTAATAATTTCACTCAATTGGAAGTTAAAGAACAACAAGACCTTTTGTTTAAATTGTATTCAAATATTTCATCTTCTTTACGTGGATTAGTGAAAGTTATTTTAGAATTATTTAGTCAATGGCTATTACCAAATCCATCAAAAATTGATCATATTCTTTCTTACTCACAATTTCTATTCCTTGAGTTGGTTGATGAGTCTGTTGCAAAAGAAATGTTTAAACTATTAATTCTAAAATTCCCTACACTACCTCCAATTGAAATCCCATCAGTTACTTTTATTGAAATGATTAGAAATTATTCATTAACTCCAATTATGGATGAAGAGGTAAGAGTTAAACATATTGAAGATATTAAACAAGCAATAAATGAACCTAATGCAGTAAACAAATTATTAAATCATAAAAACTCTCATTTAGATCTTGTGAAGAACCCAACAAAATGTCCATTTAAGAAGATTAACACAATGACTTTAAAACATTCAAAAGGAAGTAGATTAAAAATTGGTAAGAATAGAAATGGTTCAATTATTTCAGATGAATTGTTATGTGCTGCTGTTGTTGAAGGAGATGAAGAAATTGATGAAAAAGAGGAAGAAATTGTTAAAACACATAAATTAGCAATAGGACGATTTAAATTAACTGAGGTCAATAACTCTAATGATTCACAACTAATAGATAGAAATGATTCATTTGAAAGAAAAGCTGAAAGAAGTTTATCACTCTCTCCACGTGTAAGAAACAAGTTTATAGAATCAGAAGATAAAGTTATTTTAACTAATGAAGTTAATAAATCTCTTACACCAGGAAGTTCTAACAACAGTCCTAGTTCTGAAAGAAGTGGGTGGGAAAAAGGAGAAGAAACACTCCATTGTTGTTCACCAAGAAAATGTGATTTTATGAGAAAAGGTAGTGAAAGAAGAGAAGAGATCATTAGAAAAATGAAAGAAGAAAGAGAAAACAAAGAAGGATCTAAGGAAAGTCCACACTCCAGTTCACCAACAGTTGAATTATCTCCATGTGCCACTCCAAATGAAAAAGCACAATCTCCAATATTTATAAATATAAATATAGTACCTAGTGATAGAAAATCTCCTAACCTTCAACTGGACTCGATTTGTTTAAATACAGCCCCTGTTTTGGTTAATAACACTACTTCTAGGACAAGACCACCTCTCCCAAAAAGAAATATCTCTAAATCACCTTTATCTACTTCTGCTTCTGTTGTCTCTACACAAAGACTTCAGTCACAACAAAGTAGTTCAAGACCACTTCCAAAACTTCCTGTTGTTAAATCTACCGTTTCATCTTCAAATGAAAAACCTGAAGAAAGTAATGGACTAAATGATAGTACAACAAAACAATTTGTTCCTCGAGCTAATGCAACTCAAAGAGAGTCACTAATTCGTCCATCCACAGTGAATAAAAATAATCCATTTGACTTGTCTCACTCTAAAACATTTGAAGATAATTAAATCAATACCATTATTATTTTTATTAATTATTTTTTCCTATAATTTAATTAATGAAACTATAAAAATAATATCTTAAAATTTTAAATTTTCTAACTATTATATGGACACAACACACTTAGATGATATTATCTCAAGATTAATGAATGTTATTAATTCATTCCCAGAAAATATCATTGTGACAAAAGATGAAATTATGCAACTTTGCGATGTATTTCAAGAAGAAGTAAGTAAAGATGAAACATTAATGGAATTAAAAGCACCAATTAATGTAATTGGAGATTTACATGGACAATTTACTGATTTAATTCGATTTTTAAAAGCAGTAAATTATACTGAAGAAAAATTTTTGTTTCTTGGAGATTTTGTTGATAGAGGATGTCATAGTATAGAAGTACTATGTCTTGTTTATGCACTAAAAGCGCGTTATCCACAACAATTTTTCATTATTAGAGGAAATCATGAATGTGAAGAAATTAACCGAGTTTTTGGATTTTATGATGAGTGTTTGTTGTTTATATAATATTTGGATATAATGATATTAAAAAAATAGGTATTCGTAGATATGATGAAAGTGTTTGGAAACGATTTAATGCTACTTTTGCTTATTTACCAATTTTGGCGTTAATAAATAAAAAAATACTATGTGTTCATGGTGGAATCTCACCTGATTTAAAATTATTAAGTCAAATACAAACAATTTCTAGACCTCTACAAATCCCATGTGGAGGAATGGTTTGTGATTTATTATGGTCTGACCCTGGTTCAATGTTTGGATGGAAACCAAACACTGTTAGGGGAATGTCTCATTATTATGGAGAAGATGTTTGTATTGAATTTATGGAACGAAACGAATTGGAATTAATTTGTCGAGGACATGAAGTAGTTGATGGGTATCAATTTAAATTTAATCAAAAGTTAGTCACATTATTTAGTTCTCCAGTTTATTGTAATGCATTAAATAATTCAGGAGCAATGATGGTTGTTGCAGATGATCTCACTTGTTCATTTGTAATTCTAAAAGTTGATAAATAAATATTAAATGGATTGTTTCTGTTTTTTTTTAGCTATATAAAAATACTGAATTACTGATTTGAGGTATACGTATGGACCTAATCGGATAATCTATTATGTTTAGTTTTTATTTTACAATACCAAACAATAGTCCAAATCATATTAAATCAAAACTGACTTAATTTAAAAATTTCCTTCTTAACATGGACTATAATCTACTTAATAAAAATCAACTTTTGTTATTAGCAATGAAAACTAGACAGAGTAATAGAGTCTTAAAATACAACAATACTTTTTAAATACTCTCTATAGTTTATTATTAAATATTATTTACTAAAAATTTTTATTTTTAAATTCTGACAAAGACATTCAATATATTTATTTTAGTCACTTCTTTTGTGGCTTATCTTAGGTGGATTTTAATACACAAACCTCTTTTGTTGTGATTTGTTTATTTCATAACCTGATTATTCTTCTTATAACACTTGAATAAAACATAGTTAAGAATTAAATTAATTATATAATTAATTATTGTAAGTTAGTCATTTTAATCACAGTTTGCACAAACCAGGCTTTAGTTTATTTTTCTTTACAGCAAAGGCTGTCTTGATTGTTTCTGTGCTATCTAAAACATAAAAATTTTCACTATTTTTTGGATAATGAATTAGAATCTTATCATTTACAATTATAACTTATTCAATAAAGTTATTAGTTACCTCTGGATTATAGTCATTTGTTAGATAAACCTTTTCATAAGTGCAGTGATATGTTCTATACTTTTTTGAGCTTGATGAGAATATCTATTATTTTGTCCACATGAAATAACAGCAATTGTTGGTTGAAGGGATTAAAGATAATCTAGATTATTTGTACGTTCAGAACCATGATGGTTAACGTGATATACATCAACTATCTCAACCATATTTTTGTAAAGTGATTCGTTGTCATGATATATTACTTTCACGAAAATAATGCCCGTCTAAATCACCTGCAGTTGAATAAACAAAATCACCAGACTGAATACGTAAAGCAATCGAATATTCATTTTCACTTGGTTTTTTAGTAGAACTATGAAAGTCTTGAGAAATTGGCTCCATCTTCCAAGACTCCTAACCCATCAGAAACATTAATTTGTACTAATGCATCTTTATCTGGTGGATTAATTTGGTTACTACATGACCTATAATTTCTCTTATTTTCATTATTTGAGTCTTTAATTGAGTGTTAGAAGTATAATAAGTTTGATTGCCGTGTCATCATATGATCCAATGTTATTCCAGTTAATATCTTCAACGTTATCACAAATTGCAAGACTATTTTCAATTATTCCAGAATCTCTATATATAAACTTATCAAAAGTAATTCCACTTTTCTAATCATACCAAAATCCATTCTTAAAAGCAGTACCAATATGATCATCATGACGATGAATTACCATTCAAACATTTATATGATAATCCCCAAGAACTTCAAAAATCTAACTAACAATTTTTTACAATTCATTGATGAAGGAACAGTTTCACCACATCATTAGAATAGAATATCCAGAAGGGAAAACAATTAGTTGTGAATCAGCCTGTCCAAGATTAAATATATGAATATCAAAACCAGAATTAGAAATAACACCACACGTATGAAAAAAAATAGAATAAAGTAGATTTGAATGATTAATCAAGTGAACTTTTAAGGGACTTAAATATGGTTAATTTTTTGAAGAAAAACTATAATTACTGTAATTAAAAATATTAACAGAATAATTATAAAAGTATGGAAGTATTACAATAAGACATTTCTAACATCAGTTGTAAAAATAAAACAAATAAAAATAAAATTGGCAGAAGTAAATAAAGAAATTTGATTAATTTTAATATTTTATTCTATTTATTCTGCCCATTGTTTTACAGTCCAAACATTAATACCAATTTCTTTTGACATAGTTAGAGACACACTAATAGCAAATAACGATTCTTGACCAATCGAAATTAATAACATAATAAATGTAATTAAATCTTTTTGAATATTACAAACCATTAAAAAGACATAAATAGCATAAATAATATTGATGTAATAATATAAATTAACTTCTTCTTTACAAATTCTATTTAAAATAATTCTTTGAGTTATAAATGCATTAAGAAGAATAGTAATTGCAACAATAGAATGGAAATTATTTCTAATAAATAATTCATCAGTCAATAAGAATAAAATACCTGTTAATATAAAGAATTGCATAAAAGGGAATAATCTCTTTAAACTATCTTTGAAAGAACACTTTTTAGTTTCTTTAATAAAAGCATATACATTATATGAATACATAGCTAATGCTCCAAATGCTCCAAAAATTACACAATAAGCAATAGTGGTATTTATTTGGAATCCAAAAATTGAAATACTAATAATGTCTGAATATACTGTTTCTCCTAATAACATTCCAATAACCATTAATTGTAATTCAGTGGGATTTAATAATGGTCCAAGAATTAGAACACCAGTATGATATTCTTCCCAATGAGAAAGGAAAAATATTAAATATAACATTAATAATACTGATAATGTTAATATGGTTGTTGTCCTTAATGCTAAAACAACAACAAGAGCAAATATTCCAATCATTAATGAATCATTTCCATGATCAAATAGCTCCCCTAATGGTGTTGCATTTTTTGTTCTTCTTGCTTGTCTTCCATCAATATTATCAGCTATTTGATAAATAAAAATACAAATAATTGTTAAGAGATATACTATAGGATGAATTGGTTCTGTTCCTGTTGGAGTAGCAATGGCCAATACTATCCATGCAAATGTCATTGAAATAAATCCGACTGTTGTTAAAATGTTTGGTGCTAACCATCGTGGTATTACATTCTTTAATAGTGGTTCCCAAATGAATGGTGCTAAGATATGGTTTGCACAAAATGAATGATCTTCACCTTTGAAAGAGTAATTATGAAGAGATTGTAAACCTTCTTTTGAAATAAACATCTTAAAAGTTTACTTTTAAGTTCTTTTCAAATACTTAAAGAAATATCAGGGTTTTTAACAAAAATAACAGAAAACAAAAAGAAAAGGAAATAACAAAACTAAAAATCTCGTTTAAAGAAAGGAAAAATAAAAGAAGTCAAAACAGATCTTTAAAATCTAAAAAAATTTAATGAGTATAACAGGAGGTTGTATTGAAGATATCATTAAAACTGGAAGTAATTGTGGAGACGTTAATGTGCAAATTAAAGAAATAAAGAGTGAAGTTGAAATTATTATTAGTGATGGTGAATATTTTTCACGAGCTAAATTTCCAAAAAATAACCAAGCACGTCAGTATCAAAAAATATGTATTAGGGACTGTGTCTATATTCCTGAAAAGAAATATATTGATGTAAAAGATTTTGAGTGTTTGTTTTATTAAGTTAATTATTAATTGATTTATGAAATAATCTTTTAGGTGAAGAAAATTTTGATGGATTAATAGGAAATCCAATTGATATCAACCAGTACTTAGGAATAGAACACGGCCAATTACCTATTAGTCAAAACTCTCAAAATACTTTACCAACTGCTCAACGTCATAGTATTACAAGTGAATTAGAAAAAGACGATGATAATAAACAACAAATAAATGAAGATGAAAGTATTTTATTTAATTTATTAAAAGAACAAGATTCAATGAAGTGTTGTATTAAAGGATATGTAGTACATAAGTCAAGAATTAATGAATTTGGAAATGAAGAAGGTAAAATTTTTTCAGTTATTCTTCAAGACAATGAAGGAAGTGAATTTAAAGTATCATTTTTCAATGCAATGGTTGATAAATTTTATTCATCAATTATTGAAGAACAAACTATTGTTATGGATAAAATAAGAATTAAAAAAATGAATGAAACATCAGAAAAAATTAAAACAAGAATGATGAATAATCTTGAAGGTATTGTCACTAGTGTTACTTCAATTGCACTTGCAAAAATACCAATTCCATCAATAATTACTACAATAGATTCTATTCATGATATTATTAATACAAAATATTTATCAAGTGACTTTTATTTTATTGGATGTGTATTAGAAAAAGGAGATGAAAGTGATGTTACATTAAATAATACAAATAAAGATAAAACTAATATTATTATTGGAGATGAAAGTGAATATTCTATTAATATTCAAATATTTTCAAATTCTCTAGTATTGCTAGTAAATGAAAAACTAAATACTAACAGTATTGTTCTCATAACAAAGTGTAAAATCATAAAAACAAAAAATGGAGATAATTATTTTGGTGAATTAAAAAAAGGAAGTCAAATAGTTGTTATCAACAAATATTCAGACATTCCAAATTATGTTCAACCACTATATTCACAACAACGTTATGAATCTCTTCTTAATATCAAAAAAGATAATGCACATATTTCATTTAATGAACTTTCAAAAAAATTAAGAAAATCAAATGAAGCTGTTGGACTTAAAGGATTAAAAGAATATTTTAATGAAGTTAAAATGAGAGATAGTAATCATCCCTCAATATTTATTATTAAAGCTCGTATCAAAATAATTAAAACAAATGACCTAACATATTATGGATGTGAAACATGTAGAAGTAAGAAAGAAGAAGGATATTCATATTGTAATAAATGTAATAGGAAAAGAAATGGAAAATTATATTATAAGGTAAATGTTTTACTTGAAAATAATGAAGAAGAAGAACCATTTGAACAATGGGCCATCATATTTGATGAATGTGCTAGAAAATTATTTAATATGAGTGCTGATGAAATGAATGTTTTAGATGAAGATGATGTTATTAAAGAAATAAATAAATTTCTTGGTAAAGAGTTTGTTTTTAAAGTAAAAGGTAAAATGAATCCTATGAAACGTGATGAAGTATTTACTGTTATTGATGAAATGAAAATATTTTAATTAAACTTTTTATTATTCATTAATATAAAATTTTACTTTGAATGTGCAACAATACTTTTATATGTTTGCCATTTTACATCAGGATCATTTAAAACATCTCCATAAATACCAGCCTTATATCGAGCACAATGAGTAACAAATGTTTTAACATCCCAATTTTCTTCTGTACATACCTCTGGTAAATACGTTCCATTTAATTTCCCTTTACTTACAATAATTCCATGAACTCCCGGAATTACTGCTTTTAAAGGATCTTTAACATAAATTGGCTCTGTTAACATACTAACAGCAATATCAACCTGTTCAAATTCATTTAATGTCATTGGACCAAATCTATCATCATGGAGAGCATATTTACAATATTTTTTTACAATTTGGTAAAAGGGGCCATGAGGAAAAAAACATCCGATACATCCTCTGAGATCCCCATGTAACGTATAAGTAACAAAACAACCACCACAACTACAGTCAAGCCCTAATTTTTCTGCTTCTTCTTTATATTCTCTAGTTCTCTCACCTTTTATTTCATTTCTACCACACTCTCTTACTAGCTTAATGAGGAATTTTTCTTGTTCTTTTGTAAATGCTTCCATGTTTAAATAGTTTCAATTATTTTTAAGATTTTATTAATGAAAAAATGAAGATAGTTAGTTTGATTTATTATTAAAATTGAACTTTTTAATAAAATTTATTAGATCAAACAATAAATAAACAAGAAAGGTGTACATGAAAGTATATTATAATCACTATTGTTTTTGTTGTTGAGTATTAAGTGATTTTTTTTTTTTGAATTGATTAGTATGACCGTAAAAATAAACGGGAAGATGAAGAGAGTGAAGAAGGACTTCTTGGAGTTTTAGATCCTGAAGAAGATTTTACTTGACGAAGATAATAAACCATTTCTTCAGAATAACTAGCATCATCCATAGCAATATGGACCCCTTCAATAAGATAAGGAACAGTTTTTAAAACACTTAAAAAGCCATTTTCAATGACATAAATTTCTTTGTATATTAGATAAGGATTTAAAGAATTTTTGTCAATGGAATGTAGCTTTTTAGCTAATGAAGGACCTCTTTCTCCAGAATACTCACAATAAAATATGAGAATGGAAGAAGATTGAGGCATATCCTTGGCAACCGGGAAATGTTCATTTAATAACTGCTCATTCCAAACGTTAATTGCTCCATGAATTCTACCACCAGCAAATTCATATGGAAACCTGCAGTCAATTAATTGAATGTTAGAGTGATGTTCAAGGGCACCCAAAAGAATTAGTGGTGTTATTGAGTTAACACCAAACATAGTTCGTTCTGAGGGTAATAAAGTATTATAATTTATTTCATTTTCTTCTACAGATTCAGGTGAATTAGAAACAAAAAGATATTCAGCTAATGTCTGTCTTCTATTTGTCCTTCTTCTAAAACTAATATTTAAATCAGGTGTTTTACTTATTCTTGGTGATGGTGAATCTGATACAGCAAGTTCAGAATTAGAATTTCTATTCTGGTTATTAATTATATCAGAAAGGGACCCAACTGATTTTGTCATAACCGTAGAATTAAATGTATTTCTTGTTGCTTTCATAATGAAGCAATCCTAGAGATTTTTGAGATGTTAATATGGCTCTTGCTGATTCTTTTCTAGAAAACCAAACACATTTTTCGCTTTCATTTGTATTGGTTCTTTAATAAAACAACCAATGAATAATGTTTCAATTTTATTCATTCTCCGTTGATCTGAAACCTACTTTTTCTTGATTTTCTATAAAAAAGGTCGTTTGTTCATGAAAATCCCGTCTTATTAGGTAAATTCAAAAGTCTTAAGTCATTAGAACAAATGCTTATCGAGAAAATGCTTTTTTTGCAAGCAAATTAAGAGCCAATTCTCTATATATAGCAAAGGTGAAACTAAATACAATTAACTAGTCTATTTTTATATGAAATTATAGTTCAAAACAAATACAAAAAGAGATCAGTTATTACATATACTAAACTACTCAGTTTTTTGAACGATAAAAAGGAATTACTTCATTTTGTTTAATGTTTAGTGATTCTCGTTATAGAGCTCAGTTCATTTGTTTGAGCATTATAAAGTGAAATATTTTAATATTACACCAACTTTTATCCTATAAAGCATTAATTATATTTTTATTATTTTTTCTTCTCAGTTTCTTATAAAGCCATATAGCAATTTCATTAACTGAAATTAACCTATTGATTGTTTATCTTTATTAATCAATTTACTGATAATATTATTTTAATTATTTCTATAGTACGTTATTTTTTTATTTAAAAGAATTTATATCCAAAATTTTTTTATTAATGTTTTTATAAATATGTCTTATTTAATACTTCTCTATTGATATATGGCGACATCAATAATTTATCATTTCTTATTATACCTTTTTGTTTTTTTTTTGTTATTTTTTTTATTAAAGTAACATGTTAGAAATGAACTCTATTATAGAAGTAGAGGATATTGAATTCATTGAAGTAATAACTTCTCAATATGAAGAAAATCCATTTGTAGATATATCTATTTAATTGTCTTTTTTTTTGTTATTTTTTTTATAAAGTATCATCTATTCTCAAATGATGATATTAAAAATTCATCAATTGTTTTATTTTATATTTGAAATTTTTGTGTTTTTTAATAACCTTTTTCAATTTATTAATTCTATAAACATAATGGGGATTAATATTTTTTATTTATTTTAGTATAGTTCATTATACCGTTTATTTTTGCTATAACAATGATTGAAATTTATATTAAATTGATTTAATAATACTTGAACCGAGAGATAATTAAGACAGTTGTTGTGATATTTTGTTACTTGAAGTAATTGTTTTTATATTTATATTTGTTGGTTTATATTTTTTTTTGAAATAATAATATTTTTTTATTATTTTCTTTGACTTTATTTCATATAATTTTAAAATTAATATTAAAATCTAATTTGTGAAGTGAATTAAATTCATTTTAAATACTTAAAAAATTAATTAATTATTAGGTGTTTTCATAAAAATAATTTAGTTTATTATTTTTCATTCTTAGTCAGTTTCATTTATTGAAGAACTTTTATGTTCTTCATTTTCTTTTGGGATTGTAGAATTACTTTGGTTAATATTAGGGTCTGTAGAAATACTAACTCTTTTTGCTTGTCTTTTGTTATTGATATAGGTTAATGTATGATACAAAACCTCAAAGAGAATCATTACAACAATCATAATTGCAATACAGAAATAAATAGTTGCAAATACATTAAATGCTTGAGATAATAAAGCAGCAAATAATGGTAATAATCCATTAGATAGTGCAGCTACACTTTCACTAATACCTACAAATAAACCTTTTGATTTTTCACTTGCTCTTAAAGAATAGTAAGTTGATGTTTGATAACTAAAACCAGCAGCAATCCCAGCAAAAAATGAAATTACAAAAATAACATATGGATTAAATACAACTGTTAATAATATTAAGAATAATGTAAACACTGCCATTGCGATTAAAAAAAGAGTTCTTTTATACGTCCATTTATCAGTAATACTCATAGCAACAAATGTAAGTGTTTGAGCTATGTACATAATACAAAAATTAATTGATACAAAATTATCTTCAGGACTACCTTTCATTGGAATACCAATTGATTTTTCATCAGCAATTTTAATGTATTGATTTGTAACAACTGCAGATGTCCCAAAAATACCTAATTGCATTAAATACCCCAAAAAGGTATATGTTTTATTTTTTAATTGTTGTTCAGTCCATTTTACTTTAATTGATTTATTTGGTGTATTTTCTATTCCAATTACTTTAGCAACATCAATTGGAATTTCAACATCATCTTTATTATTATTGTTTTCGTTTGTTGTAATTGTTTCTTTTGTCAATGGTTCTTCTTTATTACCTTTTAATCCTTCTTTTTCTTTTTTAATTTTATCTCGTAACCATTTAACATGTCGATATGGATACACAATTGCAATAACTATATTAATTCCAATTGAAATATACAATGATGTACTTGATCCTAATGAACTTTTAAGTGTTCCTCCAGCTGCATATCCAATAGCTTTACCAAATGACCAACATACAGCAAATAACCCTGAATTTCTAGCTTCATGTCCAATACCAGCTTCTTTACCTACTGTTCCCACAGCAGCTGGCCAAAATGTAAATGCTGAAAATGCCCAAAATGCTGCAGAAAAATAAATTGCGATTTTACTTGATGGCCATATAGCAACAATAGCTTCTCCTATAGTTAGAAATACCATTGACATTCTAACCACTATAAATGGACTTATTTTATCTGCTAATTTTCCACCAAATGGTGCAAGAATTGCATAAATAACAAAACAAATTGTTTGTAATAAAGCAAGTTGGACTGGAGTTGCCCCTTGTTCATTAAATAATAATGGAACAACAATCCAATAAAAAAAACATGAGGTATCATATAAAAATGCAACAAGTAAATGTCTTGGTAAATTGTCAAAAGGAATTAATAGATATTTAATGTATTTATGCATATTAACTCTTCACAAAATATTTGAAGTTCATTTTTAAAAGAAAGATTAGATTGAATTGGAAGTTTTTAGATTAATTCTATTTTTTTCTATGGAAACTATTTTCTATTTTTATAATGATTGTTTTATTTATAATTGGAATATATAACGTTTTTATAACTTTTAAAAAGAATATAAAAAATGTTATTAATCAAAACAAATTTTATAACAAATAAATTAGAAATCAAGTTTTTACTTCAAAAGAACAAAGAACTGTAAATCATTAATCAAAAAAGTTTGAGACTTTAAAGAATTAGTAAAAAAAAAATTAAATATTTATGACTTAGTGTTTGAAGGAGTTGTTAGCCAAGTCCTGTCAACTACACTAGGTAATTTTATTGAAGGACTAACTTCTGACCAATTGAAACTTGGAGTTATAAATGGACAAATTGAATTACATAATCTGGAACTCAAAAAATCAGCATTAGACTTTCTCAATCTTCCTATTTCTATTACTAGAGGAGTATTAGGAAATTTAAAAGTAATAATTCCATGGTCTGATTTATTACATAAACCAATAGAGGTAGTACTTAGTGATATTGTTGGTTTAGTAGAGCCACAAAAGATCTTTACAGTTTGTTAAATCTATATTTAGTCTAAAAACAACAAAAAAATAAAAAGAAAAAGTAATAACAAAATTAGTACAATGAAGAAAAAGCAAAAGCTGATAAAGAAAATGAAAAGAAAATGAAAATTGTTGAATATGAAATTCAAAAAACATTTGAAGAAACAAAGAATCAAAACGATGGATTTATAACTCAACTTATTGGAAAAGTTATTGAAAATATTAAAATTACGATTGAAAATATACATTTTCAATTTATTAGACAAAATAATCAAGAAAAAGCATTAACTATTGGATTTTGTATTGAATCAGTTTTAGTTAATTCAATTAAAAATCCAATTATTAAAGGAGTACCAATATTCAAATATAAAACTGTTTCATTAAATAACTTTAGTGTTTATGTAGTTCCACAATTAAATATTACTGATTTTGGTCAATATGATACCTTACATTTTATTCTTTTAATGAGGTCTTTAATTATTACTCCATTTAATAAACAAAATGGATATAAAGAACATCTTCTTATTTCTCCAACATCTTTTGAAGTTATTGCAGCAATTAATATTTCAAAAGGATTTAAAATTGAATATTCTAAAGTACTTGGTCAAGTAAATATTACAGATATGAAAATTTCATTAGATAAAACACAATATGTTGAACTTATATCATTATTAGACATGTTTTTTGAATATGGCATGTCAACTAAATACCTTAAATATAGACCTCAAAATTCACAAGTTAAAAAAGAACCAAAAAAATGGTGGAAATATGCATTTAATGTTATTCTTGAAGATGTTAGAAAAAAGAATCAACCTCATTGGAATGGTAAAGATAATGAACGTTATATGGAATTATATAAAAAGTCATTAGGATATACATTTTTACCAATAATTACAAAAAATGAAATTAAAGAAATGGAACAATTAGAAAATAGTATGGAATTAGAAGAAATATTACATAATAGAGAACATGCTCGATTAGAATTAAATACTTTTCTTAAAGAACATCCTGAATATAATAAAAAGAAATCTTTTATAGAAAAAATAAAAGAATATTTTCTGAGTTTCTTTATTAAACAAGAACCTTCTTTTGATACTAAAACTTTAAGTAGTATTGGAGAATTTACTGTTGATCCAAATGGACTTCATGGAGAACCAGCAGAATATGAAAAAATGAAATTTGGAATTTGGTTAAAAAAACTTCAACTTGTTTTAACTGAAGAATCAAAAGAAATAATTAATATTACTATCAACGATATTTCTGCAAAAGCTATTATTCGACCTCAAGGATTACTGTTATGTGCTGATGTTCTTGGATTACATATTTTTGATAATTCAATTCAACGTGCTTGGAATACTGTACTTAATAAAGTAACTGAAAAATCATTGGTTCATACTATTATTGATGTTCAGCCATTAGACAATAAAGTGGATATAAGAGTAAATGCAAATATCCAACCA